GAAATTCTAATAAGATTTAACTTACATCCTACACATATTGGTCTTTCGAGCCGGATATCCAGTGATCAAGATTATTTGGCTGTACATTCCATGTAAGCTGTAATTATTTTCGACGAATTTGCATCGTCCCGTTCACACAGTTTATCATCGAAAGAAGCAGGTATAATCTGATGTCAGGTTAGTGCATAAATAATTAGAGGGATCTCTAATCTCTATGCAGAGAAAGAACATACGACGTCAGAACCAGAAACACTATTAATTATCCCTTCATTAGTCTGGCATAGGTCCAGTGGACCTAGACCCCAGTTTTTTGCCTGTAATTTAAAATAAAATTAATATATATCATTGAGCCTAAATGACATCTAGTGATGATCAATCTTCTTTTACCTGCCGAAGTAACATTCCAATAACCGCCAAGATTTTCCGGAAATTTGTGAACAAATTCGACCGTACACAGAATAGGTCCGCTGGAGCTAGCCCGCTCAACCAAAACCACGTCAGTGCTATTCGGTACGTCTGCTGTGGCGTATGATGCTGTGGCTTATTGTCTTTTACTGACGCTGAATAGTGTGTTTTGTGAATAATTGATCTTAATTATTTTGTGACAATTACGTAAAAAAGTATTTTATCATAATTTGGCGACACTTTTGAGAGAATCGTATTTACAAACTTGATAATCCGGCAGATCTAGAAAAGCTTAATTGTCTTGTTTTCGAAGAAGGTGAATGTGACACAAATACTTTACCCCAAGAAGATTTTGACGAATCAGATGAATCGTCAACAGAGGATTATCTGCAGATAAAGCCGATGGATTCTGATACCGATCATGAAATCGACAGAATCGAATCGCAGAGGAAAATGTAACGTACAGTGTATAAATAAATGGACACAGAATTAAAAAAAGAATGGAATAACCACATAAGCATTGGGGGAGGCCCGTGTCGTCTAACTTCCTTGGGCCCAAACATGAATTATAGTGATTTTTTTTTGTTGCCAATCGCAAGAATGTTACAATTTGGGATTACTAATCATAAAAAAAAAATAAAGAAAAACTCTTTTGGTTTTTTTAAAAATTGTAGTATAACTAGTGATACTTTGGGTCTGGATTGACAATTAAAAAAATTAATATTCACTTGTCATTTTTATTGACGAAATTTAGTAAAACAATTTCTATTGACACTACAATATAAAAAAAACCTTGCACCGGGACATTTGAAAAACGTCAGGTTGTGGCATTCAGGATACCTGCATTTTGATCTTGATTTTTGGCTTTCATTAACGAATTCTGGGAGTTGGTTAGCTTTCTTTTACCTTAAGCGTTTATTAGGGATTGGTGCAGTTTATTTCTTGTTCAAATTACATTTTTATTTTCTTCGTTACTTTCTTTGGGTGTGTGTTCACTTCTGTTCTTGGAGTAACAGAGCAACCTAGCAAGCGAGAAGCTTAAATGACAGGTAATCTTAAATATGTTTTTTGAGAGTTTCTGCAGCTAAACAATCTTTCTTGTATTATAGCCAACTAATGCAGCATAAAAATTAATAAAAGCGTAAATACATCGTATTGTTCATTTATTTGTTCTACTGCTCATAGGGTACTTTGACATAATCCTGTCCAACAAATCTACTTCACCCATACTTTCATTGTAGTGCTTAATAACTGCTGGACGATTTTTTCTTTTTATCTTTTGCTGACCAGCGCCTACATAATCCCAAGAGTCTAGCTCCAAATGCTAATAAAGCCATATAGCTGAGTTTAGAATCAGTTTTTATTATTCTATTTTTCATTAGTGTACCTGTTAAATAAAGCTTCCGTGAATGAAATGCATCAATCAATATTTTTTACGTAAAATATCTGTAAACAAAAATAGATACTCTTACTGGCAGAGTATCCGTTTAAGTCTAAGTTTTAGAATAACCCTTCCTCTGATATCCAGCCGTTCTGATGTAAGTACCACGCTGGATTCAATAAATCTGCCATAACCTTCATACGTGCAAAAATCAAGTGGAATCCTCCCGTAGTCATCATGACAAAATTATTCAATCCTACAGGGTTAGGTTTTCCTTGCACACACTGTCTCAATAATACTTTTCCATAAAAGGAAATCTTTTGCTCATAAATTGACACTTTTCAGTTCTTTCATTATTCAGACAAGCCCATTGAATTTGATCCAAGAATGGTATTACTTTTCAGAATCTATTATTTTCTGTAGCTTACAGAATCATTTTCAACAATTTTGAGTCATGTTCCAATGGCAAAAAAAAAAACAACAATTTTTTGACATGTTGTCTGAAGCTATTGGTACCCTGGTATAGGTTTGACAAAAAATTTGGATTCGTGGTAAATTATAAATAATAATGTGCAATCAGCGTGCAATAAACGTTTGTGGGTGATCAAATTATTATGATCACTTCAAAAAACTTTATATTTTACTGTTTAATAAAGAATAAAACTACATATGAGTGTCTAATAATGTGAATATAATATAAAAATAGATCATAAACATGTTCTTTTACAAAATTTTAAAATATTTTTTTCTTTGACCTTAAATAACATTTTTTTTTTAATATTTTGTGTGACCTCCTTTAGCTTCGATGACAGCTTTGATCCTCCTTGGCATGCTTTGAATGTTTCTCAGGCAGTTTTCTTTTATTTTATCGTTTCTGTGCCAGGTGGCAATGAGTCTCTCAATAAACTGCTGCTTATTTGTGACAATTTCCTGGGCAACCCTCCTCTTCATAAGCTCCCATAGATTTTCGATCGGATTGAGGTCTGGGGATTTACCTGGCCACTTCAGTACCTTAATTTTCTTTTTTTCCAGGTACAATGTTACTCTTTTTGCCTTATGGCACGGTGCTGAATCGTGCATAAAGGTAAAATCCTCCGATTCGCCAAACCAGTCTTTGATTTGTGGCATGAGTTTTTTTTTCCAGAACTTCAATATACTGATGTTGATTCATCATTCCATTTACAACGTACAGCCTCCCTGTGCCCTTACTGCTGATCACAGACCATACCATAATCTTGAGAGGATGCTTTTCTCGCTCCACTATGCAATCCTTATGATATTTTTCACCCACTCGCCTTCGGACGAAGGCCGACTTATCCATAAGTATCTCCACTGTAGACTCATCGGAGAATCAAACCTGTGAATAAAAAAAACTATAAGATATTTTTTTAGGATAAAAACAGTGGCTATAGTGATTTAAACTTTAGTAGTGACGTAATTTACCTTATTCAAATCCTCAATTGTCCAATTTTGGTGTTCTTTGGCCCATTCCAGTCTCTTTTTCATCATTACGATGGTCAACTTTGGTTTTTTGGCAGGGCGACATGATTTGAAACCTTGCTCAGTAAGCCTTCTGCGGACTGTCATGTCAGAAACTGGCATACCAGCTTCACGAATAAGTCCCGTGAGGATTCTTCTTGGCTTCTTTCTATTGTTTACGAATATATCCCTTATTTTTCTTTCGTCTCTGGGTGTAGTGACACGCTTTCGACAACATTTTTGGGCACGCTGGTGAATCAGGGGTTTGTTGGTTTCAATTTTTTTCTTGATATTGCTCACTGTTGCTTGCGCTACTTGGCATTGTTGAGCTATCTGACGTTGGGAAAGCTTTGTATTCAATAAAAGTGTCTTTATTTCCACCATTTTAGACACAGGGACGTCTTTAGCCTTACTCATTATGATTTTCTTCTCAAAAATCGAAATGTTTTGAAAATGTCTTTAAAATTAAAACTGATATTCTTTTTTCACTCACAGTCACCACTAATAAATTAATAAAACATACTACAAAGATAAAACGATACTAATCTTTCAAAAACAATACAAAAACATACAAATTCAGTTGTAAACTCCAAGCGTAAATTCACCACAATGTGTATGTTGTCACGTAATTTGACACAAATGACAGTTCTAGAGCGGTAAACGTAAAAAAAGTAAGGTTATCAGTGACAAAATATATTGGCATACTTTAATCGTATATCAGCATATAATTTTATTATAAAATTTCTGAACAAATATGAAAAACTTAAATTTTTGTGACTGATCATAATAATTTGATCACCCACTGTAATTCTTCTGCAGAAGTCTCCAAAAATTTTCCAGTTTTTTTACTTCCTTCATATTTGTGTATAACGCCATGGATTCAAAAAAATGTTGTTGATGTATTTATTGAGGTAGTCAATAGGCCTTGGAATACTTTCGGGATTCAAGGGATCTTGCACAGAGTGTTGATATTCGGCAAATTGTGGTGTACAATATGTTCTCTTCCATTCTTTCATGTCTTTTTTAGGAATATAATTTGCCGTTTTACTCTCCTTTAAAAGCTGAGTTGCCAAGAGCATGTCATGATCCTAATCGTCGTCTGATATGTCACTGATTTCAGCGTGATCATCACTCTTTCTTCCTAACGTTCAATAATCATTTTATTCTAATCCAGATTTCTAGTTTTATCCCATTAATTTCCATCATCATCAATGTCAGGAAAAAATCCAAATCAGAGTCATCTAAACTCACATTAACTGCAATTTCCTCAATCCTACTTTTAAAAATATTTTTTAATGAAATTTCAAAGGCCTCATCTATTACTAATATAATAAAAACATAATGCAATTTTTTAATAAAATCGTGTTACAATATTCGTTATCTAAAGAATAACAACTAGTGTAAAAATGTATAGAATAAAATGTAGATAATGCAACAATTTTATTAAAAGTTTTCTGTGAATTGAAGTTGGCACGAAATAGAATCCATTAAAATTCTTTTTCTGCATCGTGTTTTAAAAACATTTATAATGATTGAAATGCTTGAACGACGAATCCTAAGAGACAATGGTAATTGTAATAAGCCTTTCGTCATGATTATTTTCTTCAAAGAACAAAAACCGTTGTTTTCGAAGTGTATAAAATAACAATACAAAGAAAAGAGAAAATCATATGCCGCAAATTACAGTCTTTTGTCAGTATTCCGCTCTAACCCCCTTTTAACTTTTGTGTTTCAGCCCAATCCCTCCTACCAATTCGGGTTCGATGTGAAGGATGAGTTGCACACCAACTATCAGAATAGAAAGGAACAAAGAGAAGGAAACAAAATTACAGGAAGTTATTCAGTAGTCGACTCCGATGGATTCATTCGAACTGTTTCATACACGGCTGATCCCAAAGAGGGATTCAAAGCTGAGGTAATACTTTTTAGATTACTTTGGTTACTCTAAGCTACGATGAGAATTTTCTAAACATGCAAATGAACTGTTAAATATCATACGCCTATTAACCTATTTTCAACTGACTAGTCCATTTATTTTTCATTTTCTTAAGTGATATACACTAAGAAAACTTCACTACGGACACAAGCAAACAACAAAGAGTTACCACAAAAAATACAAGTTTTGTAAATTAAATTCCTTTATATAAGCTTTTGTGTAATAGGTTTATATTATTGTTACAAACAATCTACTAGGTAATAAGTGACACAAACTTTATACTTGATCTTATTAGTAAATATCGGGAGAAAAAGCCACTTTACTACTTATTAAAACATAGACTACCTTCACTTAAAAATAAATTGCGCACGAACTTTGGTGTACTAAAAATTTCTCGTGTATCAAGGAAATTCTATGTAGGTATATACAGGGTGGTCCTTAACTAAGTAAACAAAGAGAAATAGTAGATGTTACACTCTAAAATATTACGATTTAAGCCAATTTGCACTAATAAAATCTTGATATTAATAAAGATGCAGAGTGTTAAGTAGAAATTTAAAATTTTATTTTTTGCTATAACTCTCATTTGTATGCCATATATGTGGCATAAATTTGCACTTAACTTTTTTCTCTTCAAGTTACCGGTTTTTATAATAAAAAATATTAAAGATACATTATTTTAACAAAAAAAAAGGTATACCTGTTAATAACTTCAAAACTTACCAGTTTTCGAGATAATTGTATAGGTATATGAGTATTATAAGTAGAATAATAAGTATTTTACCAGAGGTAAAGTTTTTAAATATTAAGTTATTATTAATTAATATTTAATATTAGTAATTTTTTATGAATTAAATAACTATATTAATATCTCACCACATGAACAAGGAATATGACTACCACGAGCAATCCAAAGTTAAGAAATGTTGGTATTTAAGTATGTTCCCACTGCCCTCTCTCTATAATGTGCTGGTTTACCATCTTGTCTTCCAATAAATCAATAAAATCAGTTTATAAAAAATACATATAAATTTCACCATTCAAATTACAAGGTAATTAGCATATTAGTAAAAATGATTAGCAGTGGTTGCAAACCATACGTCTACTGAAAATTAATGTTGAAAATGCATTTCTCTCTTAATGTGAGAATATTCGGTATGTCAGAAATCATTTTTCTTTAAACTAAAAAGACCATAGTGTGTAAATTTAGCTTCGTTCGTGAAAAATATTCTGTCGTCGAAGGAGTGGTCAAGATTTTACCTGTTTTTACCACGACAGACAGTGACAACTATTTATCGGACGACAAGAAACGCAAAAAGAACGAAAAAACTTCTGAAGATATATTTTTTAAAGTGACAAAGTCATAATGAAAAAAACTAGCAAAAAATAATAAAACCAAAAAATCTACACCTTATGCGCACATGAGACACCCCTAAAAATACAGTTTGTTGCATCTAGTGTATGCATTATATACAAAATGTATTGGACAGAAGACATAAAAACAAAACTAATTATATAATTTTTTTACGCACTGCACAATAAAAACAAATATTTTGCTGCATTTGCATAAAATGATTTAAACTTCTGTCATATTTTAATATTTAAAAATTTTACCTCTGGTTTCTGATCGTTGGTTACTACAATGCGAAACATCCTTTTTGGGGCTCTAGATTATTGAACCCACATGGCAGACAACTACTTCAAGCAATCATTAATATTAATCACTCCAAAAGTTATTTTACAAGTGGACCTACATATTGGCCTACAGACAGAAGATAACTTTCTCCTTGATATCTGTATAACCAAAGGTATAGCAGATACTCATCTAACAACTTACACTTACGACATAACATTCGATTAATCTCCATAATTTTTCACCCTCTATCCTAAAATAATTTGTTTACTTAGACTTCCTACGCTTTATTCATTAAAAACCAATTTAACTTAACTTAACCTTAATTTAAAGAAACCATTACTAATGCTAATGACATAAACTTATGTCTGAAGATAGAATGTGATTAAGGCACTGCTGTGGATCATCTCAATATTATATACAGTGTATACTGAAACTGAAAGCGTGCTGGGAATCCACCCCACCAACAAATAACAAACCACCAACAATTATACAAAAAATTGGAGAAAAGAGAAAATTTTGAAAAAAATGGCAAAACAAACGAACACCGACCAATAAAGCTGCAATTAACAAAGCAGCAAAAGACCTAAAAAGGTACTAAGTGATCTAAAAAATACATTAATTGCCAAATATCTGAGAGATTTATCGCCATTATAAGCTACAGATCACACCCTTTGGAAGGCTACCAAAAAATTGTTACGACCACAAAAACATATACCACCTATCAAAGGAGTAACGGAAATTGGTCACGCACTGATGAAGAAAAAGCAAATATATTTCTCAAAAAACACTTCTTGGAAACTACCTTTACTCCATTTCTTTGTGAGTTACAACCAACGGAAGAGAAAAATATTTATAGATATTTGGACTGCTCATACAAGATGTCCCTGTCTATGAAACCTTTTATAAAAACCGAAATTATTGACGCAATACTCAATACTAATAAAAAGAAAGCTCCAGTGTATGAGCTGATTACTGGATTCGCCTTCAGTCAATCACCACAAAATGCAATTCTCTGATTACCACAAATATGCAACTCTGTATTAAGATTAGGATATATTCCTTCATGGAAAATGTCTTAATTTATTTTATTATTATTTTTATATTATCCAATAATATATTACCAATTCTTGAATAAATTCTTGAAAAACTAATTATAAAGAATTTAAGTTATTTCCTAGAAGAAAACTGCTTAGTTGCTTAATAATTCTAAATAAATAAATAAGTAATAGATAAATAAATCCTAAATAGATTCCCAAATGCTACTAATATTAATAGTTGTTAATATCATAAATCAGTATTTGCAGGAAAATCGCTATGGTTCTGCAGTTTTCTTGGACATAACAGAAGCTTTTAATAAAGTGTGGCACATCATATAATTATTATAGATTACTTAAATCCTATAGAACAGACAGATATTTCCAGATTAAATAAGGTATGCTAGTAACCTATAAACTCTGGTGTACATCAAGGTAGTGAGCTTGGTCCAATCTTATATTTTTTGTACACGGCAGACCTGCCCACTTCTGATCAGTGTTTCTTGGCAACATTTAACACCTGATTACACTGTCATCCTCTAGTCACACACAAATTCGACCGAAGTATCTAGAAGGTTACAAGTTCACTTAAACACCATTCAGATGTGGTTAAGAGTATGACGAATCAAGGTTAATAATAGTCAATTAAACCATGTAACTTTTACAACTAAAATTCTGCCATTTCCATCTATACAACTAAACATCAAGATATACCGCAATCCGATAGTGCAAAATACCTTGGTATTCATCTTGGTAGACGACTTACTTGAAGAAACCACATCTGCAATAAACAAAAACTACTTGGATTAAAATTAAAACAACTTTACTAGCTACTTGGAAGAAGATTCTAAAATTCTAAAACCAATTAAAAATGAAACTGGAACAAAACCATAAAGTGGAGATATCCAGGAGTGGCTAGTATACATGTTGAATACTAAGCACGTGGTGTTCGTGTGTATCAAGGTATAAAAAAACGCTTATTAAAAGCTTAAAACTTTAATTTAAAGCAGATCTTTTCGGAATTAAATGATTCCATCGTCAGTTTACTAAAAGAGAGAGTAAAAAACCAATTTTAAAAAACACGTAAGTTGAAAATTAAAATGTGTAAAAAGAACAAGTTTGTTATTTACTACTTACATAAAAAGTTGTTAAATACATTGTTTGGCCACAGAAACATTATAGCACCTACAGAATTATATTATGTCATGTCGTACATTTCGATTCTAACCATCCAATTTAACACAAATTAGCTGCATTCAATAGTTTAATTTATCGCTTAGAAACCATCCCATTATCCAACATTAACTACAACCAAGAACTCAATATAATCAAACAGATTGTTTACAATATTAGCTATAACCCTAATATCATCCATAAACTCATTCTTAAAAAGAAACGTAAATTGCTTCAACAATGAGTTTACCCTAACATTACTTCGGATTCCCCATCTTACTTCTCATTACCATTTCACTGTCCAACACTCTCTGAATCAAAAACACTATCTTGAATTCTGTTGAAAATGTTTTGTCTTTTGAAAATCTTGAAAAAGATTTTCTTTAAAGCTAACAATAAACTGAATAGATCAATATGCAATAGTAAGGACTCTATTGACTTCAGCAAACGTAGTGGAGTTTATAAACTTCAATGTTCTGACTGTGATCTACATCCACTTATATTGGTAGAACTTGAAGATCCTTGGTAACCAGAGCCAAAGAACATTCTAAGTTAGAAAATACTTTTCCTTTTTCCCATCATCTTAAATATCACAATCACACAATCAAGTTACCAGATGATATTTCTCTTCTTTATAACATCCCAGGTAGAGATTATCTCAAACTTAACCTTTTTGAGGATTTGGAGATCGCCAAGGAAAATAAAAATAGTCCCAATTGTGTTAATCGTCACACCAGCCTCAATAGAAACTTCGTCCCACTACATTGACAATTATTCTCCTGATCATACTTTCTTTCTTTTAACTATACATCCACTTTTACTTACTTCTACATTGCTTTCCCTTTCTTCCTTAGCTTAATCATTGCCCGATATATCCTGTCATACTCAACACTATTCTTGTCATCATTAATACACTAACATCCTTATTCTAATATCCAATTTCCCATCCTCTTAAATAATTTCCACCCTAACTAATCACACAGGTTTTCTTATAAATATTCACTCTACATCTATTTTTTCCCTATCACAGTCATTTTTAGGATCCTCAGTTTACATCTTCATGTTCATATCTCCTACTTCTTTTTCCTTGATTCATCTTCTATAATTTTCAAATCAACTTTTATCTCTACCTACTTCATATACAACATCCCTCTTTTTCACTTTTTATAATTATTTAATTTTCAATTACCTAACTTAAATTTTGTCTTAACCTGGTATACCAAATTTAATTTACATCACAGTCATTCATTGTTTGACATTCTCCCACCTTGTTAACATACCAAACATTGCTATTGATCCTACTACACATTAAACATAATTCTTCACTAAAAACGGCCTATCCATAAACGGAAGCACAATGACTTTTGCTCCTACCACATTATTCCACTTGACGTTGACGGGTACTGACATATGATTTTTCATAAC